TGGGTAGCAATTATAATGCATAATTAAGATTGATTTTAGACTTCGACTTCAAATTATAAGAAGATTCCAAACATGCATGCACTTGTCCGTTTTAGATCGAACTCCCGTTTGGCTCCAATTTTTTAACATTCATTTTTTTTTATCAAACTCGTTTTCAACTGCACATTTCACGAGACATACAACGTTTATTAATTTATTAATTATATATTTTCAAGTGCTTATTTTTTAGACTCTCTAAAGTATTGATGTATTCATTTGAAATTTTTATAAACTTTTAAAGAGTCTTTGAAAATCACCGCATATTCAATTAAAACTTTTTAAGAGTCTCTATAAATCACGAGGTATTCAAATTTATAATAACTTTTACAAAAGTTTCCAAGGCACTAATTTTGAAGAAGAAAATACAAAACTAAAATCTCAAAATTTGTCACTTGTTCATCCCAAAATTTTTGCAGACTTTCACAATATATATATATATATTGTNGTCCTTACTATTTGAGGCATTAGCTTATTATTAGCTTCCACCCATTAATGTCTCAAATAATAAGTTTTCACATGGGATAACTACTGGCTGTGGATGACTATGAATAGCATTATTCAAAATTAAGTTATAACTAAATATTCTTATAATTTTTTTATTTTTTTTATTTTTGCTTTTTTCATTCATTTTTCTTTAAAAAAGATCTATTTGCAATTAAATATAAAATTTTATAAATTAATTTAAAAATATTGATTTCTTGTTTACTCTATAAGGTATGTCATATTTATAATATTGAATATTAAATTTATTTATTTAACTAAGGTGATTTAAATATTTATTATTTTTTTTAAAAAAAATTATTACACAGGGAAATGAAAAGGAATTGTATCACATTGTATGTGAGAACTTTACACGCTTTAAACCAGCGTGAATTTTATTTTAAACGAAAGTCTTTAAAAATCGTTTCAATTCTATAAAAGTCTTAAAATAAAAGTTTATGAAAGACTTTCATTAGTTCGATACAAATCGATAAAATTCCCCGAAATTCACAAAAATCATCACTTAAAAAAGTCTATATTTAAAGAGTAATGATATTTATCCTCATTGAGATTGAACACCAATTTATGTAGCAATGTTTTATAGGTTCGATTAAATGAGTCATGTGATTTTGTATTTAAATGAATCAATCATTTAATGTTATGTAATTGTCATTTAAACTGGTATTCAACTTCAATGGAGTAACATTACTCATATTTAAAAGTTCAATTGAATACACCCCATGAAAATCTAATTTTTAACCACGTCAAATAGAGGTCCAATATCATGATTTGTCCCTTAGTTAGCTTTTCAATCTATAAATAAACTAGTCAGAGTTAAACGTACATTGCACGTTATTTTGAAATATTTTATAAGTATTATAAAAGTAATATTTGATATCAATTTGTTTGAAGAATTTAATGAGTCTCAAACGAAATAAATAAAATAAAATTTAAGATAAGAAAATTGTGTTCTCGAAACTCAACTTTTATGATTCAAAATTTTTGTGATGTGAAATACTACAAATGACTGAATGAACAACTTTTTTATATTACATTTGGTACACATGAATTAATTGCTAATACATGAATTTAAATACTCATTAAAATTTTTAGATACATGAATAGAAATAAATTCATCTATAATAATTCTAGATTCATCAAGTCAAAATCATTGAGTCTAGATTAAAATGAATCTTAATTAATTGAGAATTAATAACACGAAATTCATACATTACAAGAATTTTGTAGTATTTATTACGTATTAAAAACTCAAAGTAAGGTATTATTGAAATAATTGAATTGTAGTAGGGTTAAAATCGTCCAAAAAAATTCTTACCCCATTAAAATTATAATTCATTTTTTTCTCTATTCTTATCAACCACATATTCTATAATAAAATAATATTACACGTAATTTAAATAAAATTTCTCTTTTAATTACACATTTAAAAAAATATATATATTTCAACTATTAAAATGTCAAATAATTGGCCAAACGGGAGAATATTATAATTTTTTAGAAAAAATTCATACCCAAAAGTCAAGCTGGAACAAAAACTTGGAACTCCTAAGGTCATGTTGACATTTGTTCCTTTCTTTGACCATGGAATATTGTGTCCAGGAAACCGCGTCAGAACCAGGATAAGGACTTTAATTAAATTTGCCGCAATTGCTCACTGCTACTTTAATTTTTCTTCTTGTACCAAAGATCTAAATACCACACAACACTAAGAACTTTTTTGGAATGGAGCAGAATCTTGAACAATAACCAAGAAACTAGCAGTGAAAGGTAAGTAAATTCTCTAAACAGAGACTATAATTTTCCTGAATTCTCCAGATACTTTTTCTTGGTGTCAAAATCATGGGGGTTGTAGAAAGGAATTTATGGTGATTATTATTTGTTATATTTAACATTTTTAGCTGAGCTTGAGGTCTTATATGTAGATTTTATAGCTTCTGAGAGATAGGTTTGTGAAAAATGGGATCTTTTGATTCTCTCTTACACACAAATCTGAAAGTTATGTGTGTTTTGAACATCCAACCCCCCACTTTGAGCTTTTAATTGAAGGTCTAATAAATTTTTAGTACTATCTTTGTCTGTCACTGTATCATCAGTGCCATTTCCTGTTTCTCAATCTTCAAATTAAGTACTGGAACTTGTATGAATGTAGATTAGAATCTATAGAGCTCTCCCAAAATGTAATCGAACAAGTATTGAAACTTGTATGCTATGCTATGTGTCTTCCCCTATGACAGAGATCATAGATTCATTTAAGTTCTTAATTGTCAGTACTAATATTTTATAGTTGGATTTAAGCTCTAGAGACTTGTTTTAAATTCTGTGTTTGAAGCTTATTATAGAGATGTCCAACTTGTTCATGAGAAATCCATTTCCTACAATATACCAAGTCTTTTGCGGGATGTGTCCGTTTAAAATGATAAGAACAACCTAACATTTGTTCCCAGGTTGATTATTCCATAGCTGAGGTCTTGGACGACTTATCCTGAACGGATGGATTCGTGAAATTTTTTACCGTAAGCTAAATCATAAAGTTGGTTACTGCAGAATGCAGACATCTCAGAATCATGGGAGTTTAGATGGGGCCGCTAGATTCTACCATCAACCTCTTGATGAGCTCGAGACCTATTTGTTAGCTCCATCAGATAATCCAGATCACTGCACAAGCTATGATGGTGGTAGCCACAGTACACAATTCTCTGTTCAAACACCTGAACAGCACAGCACCATTGAATCATCCACTCCTTCTACTGTTAGTTTTTCATCTAACGGCAGTCCCATTTGTCAGCAGGATCATTTATCAGATATGAATCATTCTAGTTACGTTAACTGTTATTCGGATTCAAGCAGGTCTCGGTCAGTTGATAATGATAATGACCTGGAGCACAAATTAAGAGAACTAGAGAATGTTATGCTTGGACCTGAATCTCAAAATTTTAATGCAGAAAATATTACTATATCAAGTGCACTTAATCAAAATTCATTGGAGGCACAGTTGTCCAAGCATACAGTAGAGATGATCCAGACAAGGAACTTAAAAGAGATTATGGTTGCTTGTGCAAAAGCAGTCTTGGATAATGATTCATTGACTTATGAGTGGTTGATGTCAGAATTACGCTTAATGGTTTCAGTTTGTGGAGATCCATTGCAGCGTTTAGCAGCCTACATGTTGGAGGGGTTGGTTGCAAGATTATCCTCCTCGGGAAGCTCCATATATAAATCGCTAAGGTGCAAAGAGCCCACCAGTGATGAGCTCCTGTCACACATGCACTCTCTCTATGAAATCTGTCCTTATTTCAAATTTGGATATTTGTCTGCAAACGGGGCCATTGCAGATGCAATGAAAGATGAAAATAGGATACATATAATTGATTTTCAGATTTCTCAGGGCAGCCAGTGGATCACTCTGATCCATGCTCTTGCTTCTCGGCCTGGTGGCCCTCCACAAATCCGTATTACCGGGATAGACGATCCCATATCTGCTTATGCCCGAGGAGGGGGGCTTGAAATTGTGGGTCAGAGGTTATCAGTTATAGCAGAATCATGTAAAGTACCATTTCAGTTCCATGCCGTGCCAATTTCCGCTTGTGATGTTCAGAGTGAACATCTAAAGATTCAGCCGGGGGAAGCACTTGCTGTAAATTTTGCACTAATGCTACACCACATGCCAGATGAGAGTGTCACCATGGAAAATCATCGTGACAGATTACTGAGGATGGTTAAGAACTTGTCTCCAAAGGTTGTCACTCTAATAGAGCAAGAATCAAACACCAATACCGCCCCATTCTTTCTCCGATTTAGGGAGACACTGGACTATTACCTGGCTATATTTGAATCACTCGATGTGGCTTTGCCTAGGGATCAGAAGGAACGCATCAATGTCGAGCAGTTTTGTCTGGCTCGTGATATTGTCAACATAATAGCATGCGAAGGGCCAGATAGAGTGGAACGTCATGAGCTTCTTGGAAAGTGGAGGTCACGCTTTTCTATGGCTGGGTTTACTCCTTACCCATTGAGCTCCTTTGTAAATGCTACTATTAAGACTCTGTTGGAGAGCTACTGTGAGAACTACAGACTTGAAGAGAGAGACGGAGCTCTATATCTTGGCTGGAAGAATAAGGATTTAGTTGCATCCTGTGCCTGGAAATAAATCCTCATATATGCTAGAGACTTTTATTCTAAACATCAGGTAGATCCATTTCTTTTATCAATGAATCTGGTAGTTATTTGCAGATACTGATTAGTATTTTTAAGGATATGTATATGAACTTTTTTCTAGTTAGCAATAATGTGCAATTAGATATTACAAATATTTACTAGCATCTATTAAAACGTTTCATTTTGAAAAGGATAACAACAAAATCTGCTTACATTAGATTTGTAATGTATGCAGATCTTGAAGAGCTACAAAATTAGAGTTGGCTGAGAAATACTATAAAACAGGGAAGTACAGCACTTGGATTTCATAAAATTAGGTACTCTAACTTGGAATACGGTCCCGTTCCAACTGAATCATACACTTCTTCATTTTCAACATCATCTATATTTACAACTCCACCAGCTATTGTTTGACAAACTATTATGGTTCTCTTGGCATTCTTCCCCTTTGTAATTACTGTTTTATTCCCACTTAGTTCCCCACTATCTGTGTTATGTTGAATCCCATTTTTCTTGTTATATGAAGTGTTGAAACCGGATTGAATTAGTATGCAAACAGGGCAAGTGGGATCTCTGCAAAGATCAGATACTTGTTTTATGTTTGAACCATAACAGCTCATTGTTGTGCCATAGAACAGTAGTAATTCTTTTCCGTCCATAATGGTTCTTGTATGCCTCTTATACTGCTCATAGGATTTCTTTTTCAGTCTCTCTGAACTTAACTTCTCATAATAGTCCATTACATCAATCACCTTCAGGACTTGGTGTGTGCTGTCGCAGGCACCCAAAAGTAATACCTTAACCTTTAAAACTAATATAATAGTGGAATTAAGGATCGATCCCACGAAGAGTGTGTAATTCAATATTTTATGCTTTGTACAATGATTGAGGGGTTTTTGTATGCAAATAATTGTAAATAACGTAATCAATAATAATGAAAATTAAATTAGTGAAAACAATCAAAAGATTAACCTTGGTCTAAGTCCACATCCACTATCGGAAATCCACAATTGATCA